CCTTATATGACGTTTTTGTCTTCTTGTTGACAATTCTGGTAGCGAGTCACTTTGACATCCACGGCCATTCATGTTTCTCGGGAAAGAATTTCCTTCTCTGCAGGATAACAAATGGTGGGAGATCTTTCTTCAAAATTGAGCATAAAGAAAAAACTCGTAGTACTTCCAACAGGAAATAGATCTGTTCTGAAAACCTGTGTTTCCAAAATTTGATTTAATGGTTTACCAGGAATTTATTTCAACCTGGGACTGCTGATGATTAGATCTTGCTGAACTGCAAGTGGTTCTGAGAGAGAGTTAATCTCTGTCTGATCCTCAACTAGTTTTCACTGCAATAAGTCTGTTGCTGTGAGCACAGAGAAAATACTTTAGCAGGAGTTTCGGGCAGTATGAAAAACCTGGTATTCTGTTAAACTCTTTTGGCATTCTTTGGTAGCGAGGTGTCATACCTTAGAGTTCCTATGAAGGCTGAATTGCAGGTTGTCTGAAGTGTCCTGTTAGGAGGCAGGGCAAGGAAGGTATGGGAGAGTTTCACATGCTATGAGAGGTGGCAGAGAGAGAAGAGATTTTTTTGAAATAAGGCCACTTGGGTCCCAATCCGATATTCTTTAAAGCCCACCAGGTTCAGTGGCTATATGGTAAGGTTTCACCTTCACTGACATACTTTTCAAGTTCCAGAATAAGGATCTTCAATGATGTTTTGGTAATAATGTAGGTTTTAATGGCTGCACCCATGAGAAGCAGAAGTCTGAGCTGAATTCTTATAGTCTAGGTTTTTTAGTAGAACTTTCCTGTTTAATAATCGTCAGAGATCTATAGAACAAGCTAGCTAATTTACCTCCCAATGTTTCCGACATAAGAAAGTAAAGCTGCTGATAAAATTCAGTGCAGTGTAAAAAAAACTTAAAAGGACAAAACACCTGAGCTGGAATGTGAATACATGTATTTGCATGTTGGAATGACTAAGGGTTTAGCTGAACATCACTATTGAATGACAAAGGAAAAGTGGACAGGGAATGCTGAGAAATTCAGGCCAGAATTTCACTGAATTTCGGGTAAACTCAAGTTAGTCCAGCTTGTTTTGAAGGGAGTTGTTCTGCTGCAGCAGGGCTGTGGAGCTGTTAACCTCTTCAATGTCAATTCGACTGCGAAAGGGAAGATTTGCATTCTTAAATTTTCACCACTAAATCTTTTATCTTCCTCCTGTAGCTGGGGATTTATGTAAATTTTGCTTGTAATAGAACCTTTGTTTGAAGCGTGTGGCTGCTAAGGTGCAATGTTTATTAAATTTAGAGGGAAGATCTACAGAGGTGTGGGCTTCAGAAGTCCGTAGGAGCTGACTAATACAGCCCATTAGCCCAGAACCCGCCCTGAACACTCAGAGTGCTTGTAAAGCAGTAAGCTCTTGCATAATGGAGTCAAGGCTTTCTTCAGAGCGCAGATTCGTTCGTTGGCTTAATGAGCTGTCTGCAACGCTGGACAGACAGTATGGGCATTAGAGCAGGAGACAATCCTACTTGGTGCCGTACATGGGCTAAAACAAAATGTCCGTCCCATGTACATCAGTGGCTTTAGAGTTCCTTCTCTTGTTGATTCGTGGTTTTCCTACTGCAAAAATTTTTAATCCTTCAAGTACATATTAGGCAGTGTCAGTTTTAGAAATTAAAATAGAAATTTTTCAGGAAATGCTGTGAACAGACACAGGCGTCATCTGCTGTCAAACGTCTTGGCATTCTGTGTGCCACCCCTGAGCTCCACCAGACCACGCTGTCATGGAGCATAACCATGAGTGAGCACACGAATCAGGTGTTGCGACAGATTAGATGAAAGAAAGAGGTTTGTTTTGTATCTGTTGTGTTTCCATGTGAGCAACTCTTTTCTCTTCCTTTACAATTGAACTTCTTCCAAAACTAAATTTAAGGGATTTTGTAGCAGAAATGGCTGTGGTTAGTGGCAGCAAAGTGGCATGGAGGAGACAGCGAAGGACACTGCTAGAGGATCCCAGTGCTGTTCTTGGCTCTGCCTTTGATTTGCTGGCAGGTAAATTCTCAGCCTTACTCTCACTTCCTAGTTAGTGAAAAATGTGTCTTCTGTGGTGGAAAAGGCCTTGAGATAGAGATGACAGAATCCCAGAGGCTGTATTTATTTGCTGAGGTATTTAGCGACCTGTTGGGATGTTTTTCACTCCAGTCATCTGCTTTTTTGTCTCTTGGAGGCCGTAGCAGCTGAAAGGCCCTGGCTTAGGTTACAGTTGTGTTGTTTTAGTCCCTGCACAAACAGCCCTTGCCTCAAAGAGCTCCAGTCTCCAAGGGCAAGCACAAGGGCAGGACTTCATCTTCTCATTTTCCAGCTCATAAAATTACTTGTCCAAGGTCACGTCTCTCTGTATCCCAGGCATTAGTTCCATAGCAATAATGAAAAAACAAAAGAAGTTACTTCAGAAGCTGCAGCAAAAATTCTTATAAAGTTAATTTTCAACAACTTCGATGTTCTAAAATATGTTTTGTTGATCTCGGAATCAGAAAAAATACAATAGTGTCGGCTTTGTTCAGAGTGCACAATGTCATCAGTATTTCCCATCCTTTTTGCTTGCATCAGACTGAGCGGTGGTACAGTTGTGCCCAGGTTTGCAGTAGTCTCTGTAGTCAAGGCTGTGTCCTGAAAAAGCTTTTGAGGGCTTGGATTTTGTGTACGGTCATTTCACTGTAGGTGGAAACTGATCCCTCCTGTCTTTCTGCAAAGGCAGTGTTACGTTTCAGGGAAGGAAAGGACACTCCGTTTTGTGGGGACAGTCTTCTGGAGGCTTTCACTTTGATTGGGAAGGTTCTTTTTTTAGTTGTTCCCACAGTTCTAGATTCATCACAAGAACTAACTTGGGAGGGGGGGAGCTGGTGGCGTTTCTTCATTCAGTCTTTACTGGAGGGACCTTAAGGGTATTGCTTCTTCCAGTCATTTGGCATGTGTTTGGTGTTTTAATTCCCTTGGTGGGATTTAGGACCCAAAAGAGGGAGAGGAAGAACAGTACAAGGGCCAGGCCTGAGAACAGGGAGGTGCAAATCCATTGCTGGGCTTCGTTATCCTAGAAATGCTTTCTCCAAATTAACCTGCAACAACTTAATCTCGTGGGTTGCCTGATACACCTATTTTATTTTGTTTTTCACACTGATAAAAAATATCCCCCTTCCCTCCACACACATGGCACGGTGACCCTTACTAATATGGTTTCAGACCCACACAAACCTGGCTTTTAAGTGAAAACAAGCGAGCAATTCTGTAAAACTACTGAGAAACAGTTGAAAAGCAGGCGTGTTTATCCACCATTTCGGGATGTTGTTGAGATCCTGATCCTTTTGACTCCCGTTTGGAGAAGGGGAGAAAACAAGCAAACAGTGCTGCACACAGGACTCAGGTGGTTAATGTACTGTGTATTATTGCTGTAAAGCCAGGACCTCAATCTCTCAACTCTCCAGAACACAAACAGTCCTTGGCTTTTATAGAATCATAAAGAGCTGCCTTAAAGGCTGAGGACAAATTCAAGCCCTGATAGGAACTGGCATAGATATTACTGTATCCGAAGGGAGTTACAATTTCTTGCACCGTGCCCGAATTTGATCCACAAGTGAACACAGTTGTCCCATCAAATTCTACCGAGCAGCTTGTCTTCTGCATTCTTGCCATTCAGCTGTCACATAAAATGATGTTTTCAGCTGAATCCCATCTAGTGGAAGAGTTTTGGAATCTCTCCAGCGTTCTGCAGAGAAGCAGGGGGTGGAATCGAACTGCTGAGGAGATCCAAATGCAGGAGGAACTCTGACCCTGCAAAACTTGTAATTAGTCTTAATGCCTTTGCTTTTTTTCATACCTTTTTGAATGAAGTGTGCCGTGCATGTGATAGATCGTCTCTGTAGTCTTCATTTAAAGTTCAGCATGGAAAATATAAAACCATTTCTTACAAGATTGAATTATGTGTAGGATACCTCCAGCTAGAATGAGCTCAGGTTTTCTAGCAGTGTTAGAATAAACTCTTGCCTGTGTCTCCTGCAGTGTGTGCTTTTTTCCCTAAGAGCATATTTCTTTCTACTTGATCAGCTCATCTCTTGCAGATGATAAAATTATCTTCGAAGATTTGTAGCTGATGTTGTGCCATAAATCATATTTTGTTGTAAGATTAACATTTGCAAGCATAGAACATTTATGGAAAAAAAAAAGTGGGTGGGGGCCTGGCAGTTTCTGAGTATTTACATAAAGAAGAGAGATAGGATTCAAGATAGATCTTGCAGACTTCTCAAATACATGACCGTTTTTACAAGGTGTGGATCTGCTCAGCTCTAGCGAGCATCAGTTGAGCTGCTTTGATAGTGTTTCTCCTGGTGAGGTTGTAAGATAAAGAACCCAGGAAATCGTGACCTTGGGCAAGCAGCTTTGTCACAGAAGAGATAAACACATGTTCCAGCTGTGCTGAAAGCTACGCGTGCTGGCAGCCAGGCTTTCCAGTCCTGTGACATGCTCGGGCTGGTCTCAGTTCTGTAGAAATGCTCAGCCCCTTTCCAGGCACTGGAAGAAGGGCCAGTTTTTAAAAGGTTTGTATTAGCAGCAGCTTCCAGTTTCGCCTTCGCAGCCAGATTGTCCAAAAAGAGGTCAGAATTCAGCACGTGAGACCACAGACATAGTGAGACAACTGAACTGGAGAGGGGACCCCTCTAGTTGGCTTCAGGACCTGCAAAGGGCCAGAACGAGTCTGTGGTTACGTTGGCTTTCGGCAGACGTAATGTCCATCCACAAGTGGGGACCCCCAGCTAACGGGAGCAGTCCTGCTCAGGGGGGACCTGCGTGTGCTACAGACAACCCAGAAGCCCCAAAGACTTGTCTTGCTGCCAGAACTGTGCGGTGAACTGCGCACCCGGTGGGTTTGAGGCTGCCGTGCGGTGGATGCTGTACAGATGCGTGACGAAGCCCGTTATTTACATGTTTCTCTCTTTTGCTCTCTCCCTCTGGTGCAGGTTCCTCACCACATGAAGACTTTACCCTATTACAGTTACGACCAACCAGTGATCGGATACTGCCAAGCTCATAAGCCTCTCCATGTAAATAAGGGGTACGATACCATGGCCCGGGAGCAGGCTGAGACAACCAACCTGGAACTCAGTCGAGACCACAGCTTCATAGCCACAATCGCACGTTCGGCTGCTCCAGCCATTTACATTGAGAGAATACCAAACTAACGGTGGAGACAACCTCTTCAGGGGGCGGAGTGGGGAGTTCTTTTGAGGGACCTTTCATCTCAGAAGAGACCAGGGCAAGAAACTAAAATCTACCATTCCAGTTACAAATGTTCCAACACAGACAAAGGGAAGGGGATCAAGCAAACTCCGCAGACTGTGGAAGTGCTGTCTTGCAGTACACACTGAGAACTTCAGGATTTTCTTTGCTTTAAACTTTCAAACAAATTCCTCAATGTAAATATTAAAGAGAGATTGTCAAGTTCTTATTAAAAAAAAAAAAAATAGATTTCACTCTAGCTACATAAAGGGATGGATTAAGAGTTTTGTTTGTATATTTGATTTTTCTACATTGCACGGTTCCAGGGAAGGAGAACCACAGGTAAAAATAAAGGGGGTGGGAGGGCAAGGGTTTGGGTGGGGTGGGTCAGCCATGTTTCCTTAGTAAGTGTTTATTACTCTTCAGAGATTTGTTTAATATTTTTGTTCTTTTTAAACAAACGAAAGATAGATATATATTTTCTTTTTTCTTTTGGGGGTTTGTTTTTCGGTTGGGTTTTTGTTTTTGGTTTTTTTTTTTTTAGTGGTCAAGCGCTAATATTTCAAACTTCAGACATGGGCATTAAAGCTTATGTTGAACCAAAAGGACATTGGCAATTGATGCAGCAGAAACAAAGAAACTTGGGTGCATGTACATTTAAGACACAGGCTGTACACTATGGAGGGTGCTTTTGATTTTTACTATCTTCATTGTGCTTCATTGTTGACACTATAGTTACTTTTCGGGCTCCAAAAAAGGGGAAAACATGCAACGGAGTAACGACTCTCATATTTACAGTCCAGCGGTGCTTGTTAAGCAAAATTAACGGACGTTTGGGAACCAAAATGGAAGTGATGTGCTTGAAATGGATCAGAAGGAAAATCTTAAAGCAAGAGTATTTGGTGAAACTCACCGGCTGACACAATTTCTAAAACACAGGAGAATGTGTAACATTGTTTTTTGTTTTTTTAATTAATTATTATGATCAGTTAGTTTTTGTGTAGTTTTTATCAATAAAATGACGACAAAAAAAGTGGTGGAAAAAAAATAAACATATTATTTTGTGGTTGGGACACCACAGCAAGCTACTGTTTGAATGATTTCTCTGGATGTGTGACGTGGTGACTCAGTGGACTAAGGGAATGATGCTTTGTCCTGTTTCACCTCTATCTCTCCTCTTAGAAAGGAGCTCAAGGAATTGTTTTGAGGTTTAAAAAACCTGAGCCTGAAGAAGCTCAATTCATTTGGCTTGTCTGAGGAAAGGTTAAGAGGTGATT